TGGAGACATGTCTCTGATTTTTCATAATCCCCATAGTTCTGCTTTTGTGTCTGCACATTTGAAGAAATAGTTACCTCTTCCAGACTTTATAGACTGACTTTAATAAAGGAATTCTTTCACCTGTGGGTGAGGACACACTGGATTATGCTGTGACCTTGAGTCTAGTGGTGCAGAGTACCAAATTCAGGGGCATATGGCAGCACTGGATCTGGATGGGGGATAAGGGTTCATGATGTCTCTTTGGTTTGTGCTGCTTGGGTCTACAGCATTGACGACCATGTGTTCCTTGGCGAGCACTGTAAGGAATCTGTAGTTGCTGCAAGGGTTGTTGGTGTTTTGGGCAGCACCTTTAGATCCAGTAGGTAGGGACCCAGTCAGTCAGTGGTGGTGGCTAGAGCCAGTGGCGGTCAGCTGCAGGAGCCTGTGTAATGACAGAGGCCAGCTGCATACACATTTGTAGTGATGAGGGCCAGTGCAGGTAGCAAGGGCTGAGGTTAACTGTGGGCTCACTGGCAGCTATAAAGGCCCTGGCCAGCAGCATCCTGACCTGTGATTTACAAACTCTCTCCCCAGGCATGCACACCACAGTGGAGTCTCATGACAAGTTGGGCTCAGGTGTACAAGTGCACAGCTTTGAGGGGGGATGTTATAGGTAGGTATCCATGGTGGTGCTGGTCAGTTACAGAAGACTTGGCCTAATTTAGGCCTACAAACAATGGCAGGGTGCCTTGGCTGTCAGTGAACTAATTGGTGGCTGCATAGCACTTCACCCCCCTTGCAATTGCATTTTAGTGGAGGTTGGTGATGGGCATGATGTCAGTGTACGCAGCTGGATGGGCTAGTCCTGAGCATGGGCACAGGGGTGGTAGCATTGGGGCACTGTGAAGCTACAGAATCCCAAATCGGTTTAGAGGAGTGTTACACTTTTGCAGCAATTTGGTTCATGGATGGCTTTGGTGCTGTTCGGCAGTGGAAGAGGAAGGAAACGGAGGGACTCAGTCAGCTGGCATTAGTGAGTACAAATAACTGTGAGAGGAAAGTGGGCAAAATCTGTAGGGGTTCACAGTGGCCCTGCTGGCCTTTGGCTTCATCAGTAACAGAATCTGTTGAGTTAGTCTGCAGAGCTGGTCTGTGAACTGTAATCTCCTGCAGTTTGTCTGCTAATAATAACCTCTGCTTTTATTCCTGTTTCTAGTTGACTTACTACAACTCAGTTTTGTTGGTCTGTGTGGGGTAAAACTAAAGTGGGACCTTTGTACAGAATCCTGTAAGTCTGGAGAAGCTGGTCACTCATTCTGCTCTTCCTTTTCTGGTTAGAGGAACTCTTTCTTGCTGTGAAGTTCCTCCTTAGTGCTGAAGAGTATCAGTTTGGGCGATTGGATGATGCAGGTTAAAAAAAAAAAGTGGTCTTTCTTTTCTTCTTGTGTGATTATTCTGTTTTCTTTTTAAACCTTCCTAAGTGGATTCTAGAGGTCTCCCAGAGCAGGGGGTTTTTTTGTTTGTTTCGTTTTGTTTTGTTTTGTTTTTTAAGGTAGTTGTCCAGGCTTTTTCTTTGTGGGGCAACAGGGAACGTTGGTTTTCCCACCTACTGATGGGCACTTCTTTTCACTTTCAGTATTTTAAATGTCCTTCCATTATCCACTGAATTTCATTGTTGTTGATGAGGTATGCTGTATTTTTAATCCTTCGGTTCCCTGTAGGTACCCATTGCTTTAAAATTCTTTCCCAGAAAGTTGATTTTGATGGGCTTTATGTAGTTTTATTCTGCTTCCTGACCAAGCCCCTGTATATAATGACACACTGAATCCTCCATCCACCTATGTCCATACTTGGCAGTGCCTCTAGCAGTCACTAGTTTCTGCCAGTCCAGGAAGGACTTGTCTCTGTGGAGTTTAGTTCCTTACAGTCTTTTGCCTCCACACCTCTCTGATAGCTTTTAAAAAGTATTGCTGTGGTTCTGACTGGCGTGACCCAGTGGGATGGGTGTCATCCCAGAAACCAAAAGGTTTCTGGTACAATTCCCAGTCTAGGCACACACCTGGGTTGTGGGCCAGATACCTGGTTGGAGACATGGAGAGTCAACTGATGTTTCTCAACCCACTCTTTCTCCATACCTTCCCTTCTCTTCAAATATAAATAAATAAAGTCTGTTTTATAAAAAAATATAGTTGTTTCCTTCCAAATGGATAACCAATAACATCAGTATCATTTTAAAATAAATCACTCCTTTTCCTCTAAAATTGAAATACTTTCTCTCTCATAGCTTAAGTTCTATATATACATGGATTAATTTCAGCCCTCTATCTCATATATTGTTTTTCTAGTCCTACATTATTTTCAATCTATTTGTTTGTAATATTGTTATATGCAGTTTTTGTATTTCTAATGCAAGCTCTTGCTCACTAGTCTTACTCAGAATGTTTTGGGTTCTTTGTTCATATTTGGTGAGAGTTAAAGGAAATTTAGGTTACCGTCTTTAGTGTGCCTTCATAATGCTGGGCCTCATGTAGAAGTTAGGAAATTACTTTCTCCTCATTTTTGTGGCACACATTCTTACCTGTGTCACAAAGCATTTCTCCTTGGGCCCTGAGTCTTAAAGTCACTCTTGAGCTTCTTTGTTTATTCTTTGTACTCACCACCATTCATAGCTCATGGGGGCTTGACACATTATTCAGCAGAGCTGAACGCTGAACGTATACCATGCCATTCTTTTTCTTTTTACTCTCTCCTGCAACCATAACATTCTTTCTAATTTTCTATATACTTTTAAAACGATACCTCCTGGACGCTAACATGATGAGACAGAGAAACAGTGTTATGTATATCAGCAGTTAACAAAAAGTCCTTTCTTTCACATAGAAGAAAGGACTCCTGTTGCTCCTCAATATATATGACATAATTAATTAATCAAGGGATATTTTAACTGGAATGGGTTATATTAAAAGGGCTCATAATACCTAGTATTGGTGAGGATGTGGAGCACTCAAACTCATACGTTACTAGATGTTATACATTGTTAATGGGAGTACAATTTTTTATACCTGTTTTGGAAAATTGGCATTGTCTTGTAACCCTAAACATACATGTGTTCTCTGTGTTAATAAGTCTGCTATTGGGTATACATATATACAGCAGAAAAAATGTCTATGTCTATCAAAAGATGTGAATAGTTATGTTCATAACAATCTTGTGATAATTCTAAAATGGAAACCACTCATCTCCATCAACAATAACACTGTCATAATTTGTGGTATATTAATAATGAAATATTACCCAGCAAAGCAAAAAGATAATTACTGATAAACACAATAATATGGCTGAACATAAACACAATAATATGGCTGAACCTCTTTTTGATTGAAAGAAATCAAACAAAAGATGATAGTTTATATGAATTTACATGTCAACTGTTCAGGAGAAATAATTTAACTACAGGATCCAGCAGAAGTAATGCCTGCTTGAGTGTGGTTGGGAGAATATAATATGGGTGTAATAATTTATAGTTTTGATTTGAACATCTTATCTAAAATGTCCTATAGTGTGCTTGAGTGTGATATTTTTATGTTACATAATTACATGCTTATGATTTTGTAATAAAAAAGGGGTGTGATTTGTGCCGGACCTGTATATGAGCTGAGAATAAGTTACTGACTGGAAGGGAACATGAGAGAACCTGCTTTAGTCCTGTAAATGTTTTCTATTAGTATTTGTACAGTTTCATCAGGGTGTAACTTCAGATTTATGCATCTTAACTATATATAATTATACCTCAATACAAAAACAATTTTATTTTTAAAAAATAATTTTTATATATTCCCTCTGATCATCTAACTTCATCCTAGAAAACCTTCAACCAATTTTACCCACTACTATGCTAAGTGAAATCACATTCAGTTTGCCTAACAATTTGGAAAGAGTTATTTTGTACATTTATATTTTGTCAACTGTCTTGTCAAATTTTCTATTAATCTTTTGAGTTTGTTTAGTAAAGACTCTTAGTTTATTTTTTTAATCAACTATAGGAAAGTGCACTTGTCTTTACAGATATTTTATTAGTTTTTGCGTTAACTAAATTCTTAAAACTTGTGTCGAATTGTTAGGGATGCATTTTTTTTCATCATTTCTTTTTGAGTTGAAATGTCTTTGTCATTTTACCATAAATATGTTTTAGTTTTTGTCTTTATCTCGTTTTCATAACCCTAGTTTTCTCAGAATTTTTAAACAATGTGTTGTTGTTCCTATTGAATCTATTATGGTGACATTAGTAAATTTATTTAGGTTCAGGTGTACAATTCTATAATATATCATCTGTATATTTTATTGAGTGTCCTCCACCTCAAGTCAAATCTCCTTCCATCATATCCTCTTTATCATACCTTCCTGCTATACCCTCTTCTTCCTCCCCCCATTCCCCTTTCTCGCTGGTAATCACCAGACTGTTGTCAGAGTTTTTCTTTTTTTCTTAATCTTTTTACTTTTTTCACCCAACTCTGTAACTCCCTACCCTCCAGAAATATTTTATTAAGCTTGGCTGCAGAGATTTATCAGAGACCATTTTCAGACATAGCAATATACTCTAATTTTCTCCCTTTGTTGATAAATTGAGTTATTTGATCTTCTAATAATGAGCCATCCTTGCATTCCTGAAAAAAAATACATTTTGTTATATATGACTTGTACTCTTTTAGTGGATTAGCTTTTCCGATACTCAGAAAGTTTGTATGTATAAGTGAAATTAGTTTCTGTATTATTTTTTCCATGCGTTTTGAATATTACTATTTATAGTTGCTTACTAACTATTGAATTCATGGGACTTAGAACAATTTTTTGAAAACTAGTTAACTTACCTTTTAATTGGCTCCAGAGAAATAATTTCAGGTAAGTATTTTTAGGTGGTTGTTTTTTTTTAAATAAACACACAGAACATATTTTTTAAATATTTATTTGCTCTAATATTAAATTTTTTCTGAAGTTTTCATTTTTATATTTTTTTTCTACAGTCTGTGGTGGATGACTGGATTGAATCATATAAACAAGACAGGGACATCGCACTTCTGGATTTAATCAACTTTTTTATCCAGTGTTCAGGATGTCGAGGTACAGACTGTGGGAATAAATGATGTACATTGAGCCTGTCAATTCAGCTGTGTCAATTTACTTCATCTTCCATTAGTCATACATAATTTATCCTAGAATTATGTGCTAATTTTTTCTGATAAAGAAAATTATTAAGTTACTTAAAGACATTTCATTTCCTTCTGGTTCAGCTTTGCTTCTATAAAACAATAGACTTCTAAATATTTTGAAATTTTGAAAGAAATTTGAAATTCATTTAATAAATTATGACTTGAACTTTTATAATTAATATTTACTGATATTTATGCCTGTGCTGCATTTTAGTGATTGCTAATTGCTAACATTGATTATGTTTTATCCTTGTTGGTATTTGGGTCTTCATTTTATAGATGAGGTAAATTAATATAGGTGAAGCACAAATAATTTGCTTAAGGTTACATAAGTAGCAGAGTCAGGTTTCTTAAGTTTATAGTCAGTTGGAAATCCATAGACAGTTAAAGTGCAGTATTATTTTTATCATATTAATAGGTAACTGATAGAGAATTTTGTTCTTTAAAATAGATAAATCTTAACAGATCAGATTCTGTGTGGGGAAACAAATTGATAAATCACCATTATTTGCTTTCCAGTGGAGAAAGAATAGTGATTGTTTATTGCGATCACTAATCAAATAGATTTCTTAAAGAATCTTTTATTTCTGTTCAAGTTATACCTCACCGTATTGGCATAAATAGTTTAATAAATATTTATAGAGCGCCTGCCTTGTACTAAGCACTGTTCCTGAGTATACAAATGTTACCAAGAGTCTCTGCCACCCAGTCAGTATTAGGGGATGTGTAATTTTTAACAGAGGCTTTATTACAAGGAACAAAGAAGGAAATACACCAATAGTTCACTAAAGTCCTCAGTGATATAACCAGTTTTATTACTGGTTATTACTTCCTTTTTAAAAAAAGTCCTCATCCAAAGACATTTTTTCATTACTTTATAGACAAAGGAAGGGGAGGCAGGGAGAGAGAGTGATAGAGATCTAGGTATCAGTGTGAGACAGAAGTACTGATTGGTTGCCTTCTTGTACATGCTCTGACTGGGGATCAAACCAGCAGCCTGGCCATCTGCTCTGACCTTGAATGAAACCCTTGACCTTTTGGTCTATAGGACAACTTCTATAGAGAAAATTATTTGGTCTCAATTACATGTTCCAACCAGTTGAGTCACACCAGCCAGGGTAAAAATGATTACTATTTAATGACTATTTCATATATGCCAAGCTGTGTGCTTTATGTACATTAGCTCATTTTATATTAGTTAACAGTTTTATTGGGCAGATGTGATCTTTATTTTGAAGATCAGGAAACTGCGAATAAAGGGCTTAGATAAGTGTTTGGACATCATGTAGTTTATAAGTTCCAAACTTATGGTACCAAGTAAGGTTTGTCTCAATCTGGGACTTACATGGGAAACCACAGGATACTATGGAAATAACGAAGGGTTCTCATCCAGCCCAGGCTCTCTGTGAATGTGTGAATATGGGGATTTGTCAGAAAATGCATCCTGTAAGAAGAAACTGTGGTGAGACTGAGGCTGAGTAAAAGAATGATAACGAGGCGGGGAAAGGCCAGTATTTACAGACTATGCAAAAACCCCAAAGACAAGAAAGCACCACACACTCTAGGAAATAAATAGAGTTTGTGGTTGAATCCTAGACCATGGAGATAGGTGAGGAGTCACAAGAGATTACGCTGTTGGACGGAAAGCAAGTTTGTTAATTTTACAGCCTTAAAATGATCAAGGCCCAAGCACTGAGTGATATACTTTACATATTTTATCTAATCTAATATATTATGTAAGTATCCTATTGGATTGGGTTTTGATTTTAAAACAGCTGGTAGTCTTTACATTTTTACCCTTTGTAATTCATTCCCGTGGTTCAAAAACCTTAAAAAATATTTTTAAAGATACAAAGCGAAAGTCTTTATCACTTCCTGCCTCCCCATCTTCATACAATAAATATATCCACAGAGTTAACTGCTCTTGACTATTTTGTCATATTGTCCACCCAACTATCTGTGTATCTGTTTAATTGGTCTACCTAATTTTCATACACTTAAGTAGGAATATACAGGGTCAGAGCACAAGTAGCTTTACCATTGTTTATATAGAAAATAATACAATAGTTAATAAATAACACAAGAATAAACTATTTCGCGTACTTAAAACTGCAAATCTACTTTTGCTCCACCCTGTATATTCTTTCCTCTAACACAAAAGATACTGCTATTGATGTATAGAGAGCTTTCTAAGTGTTTTTTTTTAATACGGTGTCATAACATTCCTCCTTGTATATGTATATTAATTTACTTACCTTCTTTTAGCAGACTATTCTGTTAATTATAGTCTTTTGCTATTACAAACAGTACTGTAATGACTTACTTTGTTTATACTTGATTTGCTATATATGGAAAAATGTAGATAAATGTACTTGTAATAATATTAGAAACATGTGCTAAATTTCCTGCTATAGGAATTGTACCCAATTTTACTCCCCATCAGTAATACATGAGAATGCTTATTTCTTCTTAGTTTTTTCAACGAAGTGTTCTTATCAAATTTTGGATTAGTTTTAGGAATGATTTAAAAATATGTCAGTGTGTTTCTTTTTTAATTAAGGTGAAAGTTACTTAATATACAATTTACTATTTTAAAGTGTACAATTCAGTAACATACAGTGCATTCACATTGTTGTGCAACCACCTTTCTCAAGCATCAAAACTTTTTCATCACCCCAGAAGAATACCTCATATTCCTTAAGTAATTATTTCCTATTACCCTATCCCCTCAACTCTTCATCCACTTACCTGCTTTCTGCTTCTATGGATTTGCCTATTCTGGTAATTTTTACATAAAATGTGACCTTTTGTGTCTGATTTCTTTCACTTAGCATAATGCACTTGAGGTTTACTGAAGTAGTGGCATGTATCAATAATTCATTTATTTTTATGGCTGAATAATACTTTATTGTATGTATATATCAGAATTTATTTGCTCATTTGTTGATAGACATTTGGATTGCTTCCACCTTTTGGTTATTGTGAATGCTGCTATTTTGAACATTCCTGAACAAATATCTGTTTGAATACTTGTTTCTTTTTCATTCTTTGGGGTAAAAAGCTAGGAGTAGAATTGCAAGATCATATGGTAATTATATTTTAATTTTTTGATGAATTGCAAAACTGTTTCCCACAGCAGCTGCACCATTTTATATTTCTACCAGAAATATATAGGATGAGGATTCTTACTCCTTCACATCTCCAACATTTTTATTATCTAATTAAAAAAATTTTTCAGTTTCCTAGTGGATTTGAAGTGATATCTCTTTGATTCCTTAATTACCTATGATCATGAACATCTTTTCATGTGCTTTTCGGACATTTGTATATCTTGTTTGAAGAAATGTGTATTCAGGTCCTGTGTTTATTTTAAAATTAGAGGTATGATGTTTTGTTTTTGTTTTTTTGTCTTGAGTTGTAGTAGTTGTTTATATAGTCTGGATACTAAACCCTTATCAGAAATATAACGTATAACTATTTTTTTCCCATTTTAAGGTTGTCTTTTTATATTCTTAAAGATGCACTTTGATGCAGAAAACTTTCAAATTTTTATCAAGTCCAATTTATTCTCATTTCTTGCTAATTCTGTGTCAAGTGTAAGAATCCATTGCCAAACTCAAGGACATGAAGATTTATTCCTATATTTTCTTTTAATAGTTATATAGTTTTAGTTCTTATGTTCAGGTTGTTGATCCATGGTTAATTTTAGTGTAAAAGTGATTTTAATTTGTGAATTAAATTCTTATGAATGGAGCTTGAGAAGCATTTGTTTCTTTTGTGAATTCTCTGTTCCCATCCCATTCCAAGTTCCCTTTTGACTGTATAAGGCATTTAACAAAATGGATTTTAAAACTTTTTGATTAGAGAGACATAGATGCATATTTTCTTAATGTGATTAACAAAGGAAGCACACAGTCTCTCACATCAGTGGAATAGAATAACAATCCAGAAATAGACCCAAGCACCTCTGGAACTTTTAAGCATATCTTAAAATATATGAAAGAAGAGTATTGCAAATTATAGCTACATTGAGATCATTTTTCATCTATCAGGTTGATTAAAAAGTTTAATTATAACAACACTCTGTTGATTAGGTTGTGTGGAAACATATTGTTTCACTGTTGGAATACAAATTGGTACATCTCTCGGGGAAAAATATGGCAGTATCTACCAAAAGTACATGTTTTCATCTTTACACTCAGCCATCTTACTTCTGGAATTCATTTTTCTGTAGAGTCTGAAATTATGTGAAAGTAAAAAAATGAAATGATTTTTAAAAAGCCTTTTTAATCCCAAAGCCAACACTATGCTGAAGGGAAACCAGTAGGGTAAATAATACAAAGACAAATAAGGTCACAACTCCTATTTATCATTATATTGGTGGTGATATACTCCAACACATTTAGAAAATAAAATGAAGTAAGTATACTCATTATTTGAAAATAATATCCACTCTTTAGGAAGTTTAAGAAACTTAGTTTGTAAAGCTAATATAAGTAATAAAATAATTCATTAAGTTATAGGGGATATGGAGTTAATATAAATTAACATGTTAAGTTTATATAAGAATATACAGTTAGAAGAGATAATGAAATAAAGACCCCCTTTTTAAGGTAATATGGGGCAGATGTGGGAAATTATTTCAGATCTACACCTCACTTGGTGTGATGTACACCAGGATAAATCCCCAATGCACTAAGAATTCAAATAACAAAAACAACAACAAATAGCAGAAACAAAGAAAAAGAACAACAAATAAATACCAGAAAGAAAGAAATAATAAAGGATAGAAGAAAACAGGAAAGAATTCCTTTATAACCTTGGAGTGCTAAAGACCTTTTATTGATGCTGCAAAATTAACTGACTAAAAACCTATAAGTTATAAAAAATTGATATATTAAACGTGTGCTA